AGAGTACGACGAGGAGGAATTTGAGGAGGTCAGGGAGCAGTGTCAAACATCAACTTGTGACTCTGACACTGGTCATCCAGAAGAGAGCACTGACCCTGTGTCCCTTCCCCCTGACCGGCACGCAGCATAGAGCTCTGACCCTGTGTCCCTTCCCCCTGACCGGCACGCAGCACAGAGCTCTGACCCTGTGTTTGTTTGTCCCCCTGCAGGAGACGGACTACGTCATGTCCTATTTCGACAACGGCGAGGAATTTGGGGCGGACAGCGACGACAACATGGATGAGGCCATTTACTGAAGCCAGCGGAAAGCCCGTATCTCCTCTTTGTTCTGAATTTTTTAGGAGTGTGCCCTTTTATTTATTTTTTTTCTATGTGGGCAGCATTGTTTCATTCCTGGGCTGCCAGACTGATGGTTTGTGGTCACAACAGATTTCCGGGGGCAGATACGTTCACCCTTGACCCTGAACTTCAGGCTGTTTCATTGGAACTTCAGGTGAAAGGTGAAAGGTCACAAAGGACAGAGGTCGACTTCCTTTCACCCTGATGGCCTGCTTGTTTGCATGTTTGGGGATCCTACAGTCTCGTTGTTCCAGTCTGTTCAGTCCCCCTGAGGGAATCCGCTGCTCAAAATGTCTTCAGCGGGCTTGATGTTCAGTTTTGTCCCTCCAGGGGAAAAGATTCCAGATGCCATTTTACACGTTTCTACAACAGATCCTTTTTATTCAAATGTTCTTTTATTTTCTTGTAAAACAAACGTTTTAAAGGAAGGGTGTTTTTAAGGGTTTGGGAAGGTTTTCCAGTTTTTACTTATTTTAAGTCACAAAATTTTAAGCGAGAGCGGAGGTCGAATTGTACCAGCAGCAAAGCAAAGCCAGGTTCGGGTGTCCTGCAGAGTTTAGACTTCCCACCAGGTGGAGCTATTGTCTTTTTGTAGGGTCTGGGTGACATCAGTGTAGCCTTCCTAGCAGCTGGTTAGTCTAGGTGTAATATCATCTGGATCTGTGTACTTCTCACTGAATGTCTTTTTAAAAATCTCAAGTGTTTTAAATATTTTAATGCAGTTGATTCAATTTGCAAAATGACGTCTCATGGTAGCCCTGGTTCTGTTCTGTTTCTGCAGTAGAATAACCCCAGTGTGTAGCTGTAGTTTTAAAGAACTGCCACCAGGTGGTGGTGTCTGAAATGAACTGCGGGCTCATTGCCTTCTGTTTTGGATATAGGCACAATTTAAAATATCCCGCTGCCTTCAGACACATGACTTTTTAAACCGTTTTCAGATGCATTGCAGTCTTGTGTTTCTGAAATCTTTTAGGGTCAGGTGAAAGTAACAATGCGTGTTCATTCTCGGGCGTGTTTCTGGCAGAATAGTTACCGCCACTTAAAACGATGAGGCGCGCCAGGGAATGAGGCCAGGCGTTTTCCGGAAAATGCCGAAGTTCGTGCGAATCGTTTCAATGCAACTTGGTGATTTGTAATTTCATTGAACTGATGTGCTGCCGCTGATAAACGACGTAGGTGCGTCGACATTAAATAAAAACGGTAACTTTTGACATTTCAGAGCTGAGTTTTCTTAAGAAGCGGATGATTCTAAATATTGAAGGGGACCAAGTGTTGGTGATGCAACGATTTTTCTAGTGCCTACGAATTGGAAAACGTTAAGATTTAGAAATGAAGGGTTTTGAAAAACACTGTTTTCGCTACCAGAAAGCACTGGCCCGGTGTATCATAGAGAGAACTATTCATGCCTCGTTTTGGTGGTTTCCTCAGATATGGGACACCACGGGTGTTAAACTTTCTGTGAGAACACTGCGATTCCATGTAACACATGTAAATAAAACACTGCCCGGCTAGTTCCTTCACCTCTTTGCCTCAAAGAGAAATTTTCGACATTTTTTGAAGCGTAATTTGGTTTGACACTTTGCATTTTAAAACTCGTAGATGTTTTTAAAGCCATTTTGTGTGGTTTTTAAATAAAACCTTTTATGAAAAAAAAAAACCGTTGTCTTCGCTGCTGTCTCCCTGTGACTGGATGCCGTGGTGTCGTGGCGACGGCTGTTTCTTGTAAAAAAAAAAGTCGATTTTCACGAGACAGAACTTTATTTGAGGGCTGCTTGAAATAACAAGGGGTGCAAATTTTTAACTACGAGTAAGAAGTGTAGCAGTTACGTGCCGACGTCACATGATGCGTACAGTAGCAATTAATGTTGCAAGTCATGATTTTGCTGTCCCCACGACAGAGCATCAGAAGGGTTACAGGTTAGGAGCCGAGTCCATGTTTGGTCTGATTGCACATTAGGCTCTTCGGATTTCATCTAGCTGTTTCTAGAACACTCAGCGGCACAATGCAGACACCGGCCACTCTTTGAGTAAAGAGGGTCTTAGTCTAGTGCTAAGCGGATGATTCTAAGTGCTAAGTGCAAAAAAACACTTCCTTCCCATTTCCCCAAGCCCCTGTCTCCCTGCTGATCCTGAAGATCTGTCGGACCAGCTCCGCTGAGTCCTTTCGGGATATCGAACCCTGGCATCAAGTCACCTGGTGTGTGCCGGGTTTCTCCCTTCAGGACAGACAGGGATGTCTGGGACAGGGGGTCGCTGGCCCTTTGTCATGCCTGCACCCTCCCTTAAACAGATGGTACCACTAGTTAGGCCTCACTTAGATGACAGTGCTCAATTCTGGTCAGCATGTGACAGGAAATATTCTGGTGCTCGGGAGTCGGTCCAGAGAAGAGGAACCAGGTGCCTTCCTGGGCTGGAAGGGAGGGTCCGACAAGGCAGGCTGGGGGAACTGGAGCTTTTAGTTTTGAACAGAGAAGGCTGGCAGGAGGCCAGACGCTGGTATTTTGAATCCTCAAAGATGCTGACCAAGAACAGCCCAGTGGACTTTTGTCTTTATCAGAAGTGAAATCAAAAGTCGAGGAGGTTTCCAAGAGGGAACTGCATGAAGTGCATATAAAACCAGGAGCAGGAGGCATGTCCTTACACAAAGGGTGGTGGGAGTTGGGAGCAGGCTAACCAGCCATGCTGTTGAAGCCGAAACAGCTGGATGAGATCCTGGGATCAATTAGCTTCTAACTAGCGGATTGTATTTACAGAATATAGAGGGATTCAGTCCTGATGCTCCCGACACCTCAACACGTCTCATGAACATTATAATTACAGAGGAACAAAATACCTAGCATTGGTCACTTTTTAACAAGTTGTTAAATGCACTGCATGCATTTCATAAATATATATATTTTAATTTAACATCTCTGTAAGCTCTTTGCAAAATCTGTGTAGTCTATCATACTGGGAGGTCATGTATCTCGGGGTGTGCTGCGCCTCTAATTGATTTCAATTAATTGATTAAGCAGAATGAACACCGATCATGTTTCCACGCCTCTCTGAAGACATCATCACGTTTCTATCTTCCCACATTGTTCCTGCTTGGTGTTGAGTAATCCATCAGATGAGACAGATTGCTCTGTACTGCACAAGTGTGATTTGAACTGTGCTGAACTTGGTTTTTGTAATCAACGTATTTCAAAGTGTCTAAAAAAAAACAACACTGCAATTGGACGATCCTTGCAGCCTTGTCCAAGAAAGGTGGGAGGTGAGTTCAGACCCTGAGGTCCTGCTGTGGTCAGGACCCGGGGGAGACAGATTTCTGCTGCAGTTCTTCTTTCAGCAGAAGAGTTTTCTGCAAACACTGCAAAACACAACGAAAACAGTTCTGTCAGCTGTGGGTTTGTGGGTGGGTGGGGATTCTTAAAGATCCCGTTTTGCTGCGTCTACAAGACTTCTGTGCTGAACGGTTTTGGAGTTTTGCGTCTCAGTGACAAGCCGTGCAAGAAAAACGAACGCAACTTTACGCCTCTGTTGTGTTGCTGTTGGTGCTGGTTAATGTTAACTGTGTGGTACGAAATCTCAGGAGAATTATTCTGAATAACTGGTGTTAAGTCTCGTAGGAGAGACTGCCTTAACTGATCACCTGAAGACCTCAGACCTCCTAAGGAGCCATACCGACACGGTCAGGATGATGAATCTCAGTTGTAGCCCTGGTGCTCTGCTGAGCTCAGGAACATGGCGTGACTGTACAGCACATGACTTGGAACACTGAAGGCGGTTCTGCTTTCTCACTTCCTCCTTTCTGCCTTTGGAAAACAAGAAGGTTTCCTTCCAAGTATAACTCGAGCAAAAGGGCAGCAGAAGTGGAATCGAGTTCTGAGCTCAGACCGTCCTGGGGAATCATGCAGGGCCTGACACAGATGCTCACGCAGCTGTCAGTAATTAGCGATCGCTCCTGACAATCCATTCCTCTCGCAAACGCTATAAATACCTGCAAGATCCCTGTGTCTCTCTCTTGCATCCCCACCTCCACCCCATCTCCACCTCTGCAGCTGCCCCTCGGTCACCCTGCATGAGGGTCCTGGCCTTCTTGTCCCAAGGCTGGGAGGTCAGCCCTCAGCCAAGCGGGTTAAGCCCGGATTGTGCTCCATGACGCTTTCATCTTGGGCGTTGTCATTCCCAGTGAAACAGGTTTGTCATTTTCAGTGTGATAATTAGGGTTCGGGTAGGGTTAATGAATTGGGTGTGTTGAGACCCCCTTCCAG